GTATTGCGCACGATTAATAAAGCAAAAAGAGCAGTGACTATTAAGAGAACATAAGAATCTGACTACTGGAAATTTTCTGACAAATCACAAGAACTTATTTTCTAAGGATGAAACAGCTTAGAAATCAGAGATAAAACATCTAAACAGATTTACGCTATATCATTAAAACCGACTCACCTCGTTAATGCAGCAAAATTATGGCTGAAAGTTTTCCGAGCCAAATAAAGTAATACTTTGAAAAAAATGGACAATCTAGAGTTTATATCCATTCGATTTCCAGTTTTGCTACGTAATAAATCAATCATCTCTTTGGCTGATATCTTCTCACGAAAGGCTTTTTCGAGAGCCATAGCAAACTCATGGTCTGGATGTTCGTCTTCAATAAAGAAACAATTATGTAGATTTAACTAAGTTTTGTCGGCACAGCTTTTCATTTACTTATTCCCGTAAGCACTAGAAAAAAACGTATGTTATGGCTATTCAAATGAAATATAACTTATACATGGTTGTCGATCATACTAAAGTGTAAAGTTCAATGTTAATGCTTTTAAAACTCGTTGTAGAATTTGAAAGAAGCAGTGTTAAAATTTAAGCATAAAATTTCAAGTAAAAAAATTACCGTCATTAAGATCGTAGGATATGGCAGGCTTCTGCGGTATCATTTTTTCAAATCCAGTAGGTAAAAATTCTGCCAATCTTTGATGATATGAAAGCCGCATACATTTATCCAGTACCTGCACTCATTTTTTATAGATACAAAAAACCTAATTGTTACATTGAAAAACAATCTATAGTAATTTTCCGCCAAATTTTCCAGCTTATCTAAAATTTGAATTTTTTCAATACAAATTTTGATATTACATCAATGGAGATATAAAACAATCAAACAAAATATTAACAAAACTTGCAATCCATTCACCTCCCTTACGAATATATGCTTCGGAGCAAAACGATCTAATTCAATGCAGTCACTCCAATCTGACCATGACCATCGGTACTCAAAATTTGACATGTGGTAACTGAACCAATCAATTAATCTGCAAATTTGAAAAATGATGCCGATAAAGTGGAAGGTGGGACGACAAAATAATTACGAAATATTTACCTATCAATACAAGCAACTTGCATCGAATCTATCCTTTGGTAAAAAATTTCGGCGGCCTGTGCTATTACCTAAAGAAAATGTAATAAAAACTAATTTAAATGTTACAGTACCATATTTGAAATTAATGTTATCCATTCAAAAGAAATTAAACTTGCACCATAAAATGAAAAATGAGTGAATATGCTTATTCTTTCATTGTTATCTGGGAGAAAAAAAGCATTCCTATTCCACATTGCAAAAGAAAAACATGTGAATCAAAAAGCGCTAAATCAAAAGGAATTTAAAATAGTAAAGAGAAAAAAATCATTTGAATGATAAATGAATACAATTAATTTTTTAATAACAACAATAAAATTGGAAAAATCACCACGGCGATCCTTTTTCCAAATTTACTTACCTGAGGCATACTTTTAGTTTTGCATAACTCAATCAGTAAACTTCCATAAAATATTGACCGGGTAGGTGCTTCGGGTAAATGAAACAATTGCGAAAAAATTACTTCTAATATAACATAGTTTATTGGTACCAATGTACGTTTATCGTATTCCAACAATCTCGATGCACTAAAATACGAATACTTAACATTATGACATCGATAATTTCCTATGGAATATAGAGGAGCTAATTAAGGGTAGCCAGTTTAAATGAAGAATGAAATGAGATCAAGAGCGGAAAAAGTTTCAGCGAAACAGCTCGAATTAGAAAAAAAAGCTCGTCTAAAATGCATTTACCATTTCTTTCTATTTGTTTTTTCCTGATCCAAGATCCATCGTAATTCTTCTTCAACTAGGAATCGTTCTATGGAATGGGCACCAGGAAGAAGCGGTCCCTTAGATGCATAAGATTTTTGAATGAAATTTTTAAAAATAAATGTTTTTAACTAAAAACACAATGTAATAAAACCAAAACGCTGGACTAATTGAAAAGAAGAACTCTAAATAAAAGCTAGGGATTAGTGAGTACAAAAAATTCACATCATCTGGGCAATCGGCATAATCAAAAAAGCGGAATACCACATTCGGCAAAGGATAGATACTATTTGGGGTATGCGGTGGCGGTTCAAAACTGAAATAAAGGATAATTAAAGAGTAATTGAATTAATTAGGTTAAAAAAGTGTCTTTTTAATTAAGCATAGAAAAACTCAGTGGAAACACATCAAGGATGAAAAATGATGCTAATATTGTGAGAAAAATTTAGACAAGAAAGAATAAGAATTAGATAGGAACAAATGAAATAAAAAAGCACACCTTGGCAAACTATGTTGTAGCGCATCCGCTAATGTCCCATCAAAAGCGACATAATGACGGGTGATAAACTTTTCTTTCCATCTATCAGATCGTAATTTCAAGATCTGTGCCCATAAACAATCCAAATATTCTTCTTGTTCATGAATGGATTTTGTCCAAACTTGCAGAATCTGCAAATTCTTATCAAAAAATACTTAGGTTATTTTGATTTGCTATTAAAAAATACCAGATCAAAATAACCTAAGTCATTTTTCCATTTGAAAAAACAATTTAATATTAAAAATTCCAATGTACCTTTACATGTTCCTTATTTCGAGAATGCAGGTACTTTTCGACAACATCTAACATAGCAGTTAACTGATCTTGATTCTTTTCGGCAAGTTCTTGGCCAACCCATGGAAGACAATGTAAAAACACATAGATAAACCAATCACGCCTTACCTGGAATAAGCAACTAATCAACCGAATCAAATCTCCTTAATGGTAATTATTATGTGATCTATTAACGTAAAATCCACTAATAAATAGAAATATTGAACAACATTGAAATTCAACAATAAATACTTAGTTCATATTCAATAATAAATAATAATTATACCCCAGATATCTCTTCAAATTGGTATTCTCGAAAAAATTTGATGTTAAAGTTATCAATAAAATTTCTAATTCTTGAAGCTATTTTACCTGCGGTATTCCTACTTCGGAAGAACTACCTATGAGATCTCCAAGAAAATCTACAAATGAATCCAACGTGATTACTTTGCAGTTGACCAAATCAGAAAAAAATACCACCTGAAATAGAAATTATGAATCACAGCTAAGATTTTTCACTCAATTTTTCATTCAATAAATAAATAATTAGTCCCAAATTTTTACGGACATCTCATAAATCGGTATTTCCAATAGAATTTTGTGTTAAAATCACCACTGAAATTCCTAATTTTTTATTCACCTTTTTTAAACTTCAATTTTAATCCTTACAACACAGAAAAATTAATGGAAAAGATTAAAGAGTTAAAAATTTACAATATATAAAGCGTGGTCAAAATCGTTCGCTTTCATCAATTCGTTCAATCTCGAAAGAAGTTTATCCAAAAGCTGCAAATTAAAATAAAGAATCAAATGGAAAATTTTTTCATAACAATCTGCCGTAAAAAAACTCAGCAGAATCTAAAAATAAATGTAGCACCTCCGCACCGAAATTGTATTTCTTGGCATTCAGGAGCCCAACCAAAGTAGAATAAACCGTCAATTTATCTGGCATATTGCATATACTGAAATACATAACATTAAGCAACAGAGTTCCCTGGAATTTTATACCAACAAAGTGCTGATTAGACATTCTGATTAGTAAATAAGTTGAAATCTAGATATAAAAATATGTAAAAGAATTAATATACCAGATCACGAGGATTTCAATGATGTGTTCTTTGTACGTGTCCAAATCAGTTTCCAAAACATGCGCCAGGCTTTCCAAATTTGATTCTAACGAAGAACTGGTCTAAAAAGATTTTACAGAGAGGATTCCTAAAGCAAAGATTTAATTTAGATATGTCAAATTCAGTTGGAAGGAAAGGTCAAGAGTTTCACACGGGTACTGCTTGAACCAGAAAGATAGAACCAAAAAGTTCTATCTTTCTGGTTATTACACTGTTATACTAACACTACTCTTCTGCTTTTTTATTCGTGCGAACCAAATTCAGTTTGATTTTTTGGACCTTGAGGTCTTCCAGAAGGAAACGAAAATATATACCTTTTCACCAACATGTGTCAGCAGTTCTGTTAACTTGTATATAATTTCATCTTTCACTGTATCTGAACCATGCCGTTTTCGCTTGCATAAAATATCTTCTACAATAATTCTATTACTCGTCCAATAATTAAAAATAGTGTTGCAATTAATTTATTTTACTAATTCACTTCTAATCCTTATTTTAATGCATTTTTTCCCTTCAAGATTTTGAACAAATTCACCTTCTTCCAAACCGATATGTCGTCGCTTTTCATGATCGCCGTCATCCTGTCCGCTGAAACGATGTACATCACCTAAATTTCGTCTTCGATAATTACATCCTCTGTTACCGATACCGAAATCAGGACGACTATTTTGTTCCCTTTCTTCCTCGTCGGACATTACGTGTCTCTGTTCTGAATAAATGTAATAATGATACTTTTGTAGCTTTGAATTTTTGAAATTTTTAACTTAAAATTGAATACGCCATAACGACTTCTATATATATGTATGCGGAAAGAGAAGGAGAGAGAAAGAGAGAAAAAGCAGGAGAGAATTAGTTCAACTCAATCTCTTTAAAATTAAGTTGCAGAAACAATCATGTTTACATACGGTCTCAAACAATGCGTTGCATTTCACCAATTCCGTGATGCATGATGCCATAATCAGTACACGGTTTCGCTGTGTTACTAAGGTATCCAAGGCTGGTACAGCTGTGAAAACGCTGATCCGAAGTTGTGCTATTCCGCAATGATAGTTGCAGTCGGTGGTAAGGCAATACTGGAAAATCTCACTTTAAGCATCCTGAGGAATAGAAATTTTGAATTTTATCATTTTTAATAAATTTATGCTTTTATGAACTTTTTTAAGTGATAAATTATTAAAAAATAAAGTCATTGTTGATATTTAACGTAAATATTTTTGTTGTGTCATTTTAAGAAACAAAATAACCGATGGATATGTTGAAATTTTTTGAAGAGCACATTTCTCAACACAATATAAGTTCGGGAAAGTCTTAGAATGTTAGCGCTATTATGTTAAAAAAAAATATTAAAATATGTGTAGAACTCGGGTAATCATGTTAGTCTAGATGACACTATAGAAATAATATTTCCTTCAAATAATTCATTGCTCTAAGAAATTGGAAAAAGCAAATTAATGAAATGGAGGCAAGAAATAAATTATGCGAGAATAAAATTTTTATTCATTTGAGAAATTTTGGTAAGAATTACGAGTGATATCAAGTGACACGATTTTGAACCACCCGTTTAATTGCAGTTCAGGAAGTCATGAATTTTTTTTTCTTGCCTCCATTTCATTAATCCACTAACTGAATTTCAATCACCCTTTAATATGATCGCTCACTTCCTGCATTTCTGTCCCACGATGCGGAAATAAAGTCAACATTTAATAAGATATAATGTGGGTCTGTAATTCTTTATGAATGAAATTATCGTTTCGAAGATAAAATGATGCAGAAACCTGCTTTTCGGTTATTTCATTTAATTGTCTAGTTCTTTTTCCCTCAGTTGTTATTTTGGACTTTTTCAATTTTCAGTATGAATAGCAAATCGAGTATTAAAACTTACTATGTTATTACTTTTGTATATTTAGAAACAAAACTACAATTGTTTAATTAACAATCGAGTGACGCTTCATAGAGGCAAGGAAGAAAATGAAGTTTGAAATTGGGCAGCTAATCTGGCGGCAAAAAGTAATTTTAAAATAATGAAGTCAATTGTGCAACCGAATGTTACAATTGCATCGAAAAAATTTTGGGATTAGTTTTTTAACAAAAAATTATTGAAACATTTTTTATAATTATAATTTATTTCATCTTTACTTGTAAATCGTACTCATTTAACGTTGTTTTGTTTCTGATATTTTCTTTCCAAAAAGAAGAGATGGAAAATAAATAACATTGTACAAAAATTCTTATGATCGATTTTAAAATCCTCAACTATTCTCCATCTAGTCATATTTAATTTAGCCCTTAATCCGCTCATGTTTTTTGCATCATCATTTTAATAATTGAAATGGATTTATATTTATTGAAGCCCATCTAACTTTTATAGATGAACTAAATCCATCAGAGTTAACTAGGTTGATATCACTATTTGATAAAATTTATTAAGACATATTATTAACAAATAACAATTATCATCTGCCAATCATTGTCACTTAAGCTGTTATCTAAAATATGAAAGCAGTTGTTAATATCATAGTTCCCTGTGATAAGCCATACATTTCCTTAAAAACAACTGCAGAATGCTTCTTTGAAAAACTATGCTTTTGAATCACCTTAAATTATAAATGATTATTAGTTCGCAAGCTTGCCATGCTTAGATATAAATCACATGAAAAAGCATCCCCAATAAATATTTTCTCATAATTTATCTCTTATAAAAAAGAATCTTCTTTTCTTTTCAAAATTGAAATACTTATTAAATTATTGACAATAATTGTGTAATTAAAAGTTATAATCTGCATGTAAACATTAATAATCTGTGGCTAAAAACAATTATTAGCAGTTAACAAATATGTATGTTTCGAATGAAATACCAATTTTTTATTATTGTTGCATCTAATTTTCTGTCACATTTTTTTTTCTAAATATTCTTATTTTAAGCGAGTTTATACTTTTGCTTCCTTATTAAGAATTATGGATTTTATAAATTTTCCTGCATCAGTATTTTTTTTCTCATGTTTATTGATTATGTGATTGAATCGATTCTTATTGTTAGATCAGAGCCTTCTAACATTAATTTATTATTGTGGTATTTTAACGATAATTATTTAGCTTATTTTTGGTGTGGATTCAAATTTTATTCATTTATTCTTTTTTAAGATTTATCTGAGAATAATCAAGCAAAAAAATTATAAAAAACTTGATTTGCCTCAAGCACAAATCCCAATTATTGAAAGAATTTTTCTTTTTAAATTTGATTTTCCGTTGTTTATAAGCTGGCAATATTACTTTTCTTCTTTCAACTCATCTTCTCAAATACAAATAGTGATAATAATGATATTTACGTTTTTATTCAAGAAATAAGAGAAGGAAGAAAGGTAAGGAAGGGAAAAAAATTGAAGATTGTTATACTTAAGAAGATGAATTGAAGGGACTGAAATAAAGTTCGATGCATCCTTCAACTTGGCAAAATGTGAAAGAATAAAAAGTTTTAGGGTAATTCTTGCTTTGTTTTGCAGCTAATAGCGTTTGCTTTTAATATATTTCGCATTGTATCAGACAAGAATAAAAGTAGTAGTATAATAATAATAGTAATACTATTGAACGGAAACTTTGAATTTTGAGATTAAAGTTGAAATTTGTCCAAATCCTTCAATGCTGAATTTAATGCTCACTGGAAGTTTTTATTGACAGCATTAGTTGAACATTTATTTTATTTCTCTTTCATGTGACTCCATTCATTGAAAAGTAAAAAAAGATGTATTTCATTTCATTCATTTTAATAGTTATAAAAGTTTATATTTCATTTAATGCATTTTAATATTTATAAAAGTTCTTATTTCATTTGGTGCATTTTAATATTTATAAAAGTTTTGAAAGTTATTTGAGAACCTATCATCTATTTAACTTATCATCTATTAATAATTCTAACAATGCTATATCTTCAAATAATTCGAAGCTTCAATTTTCACTGGAAATTATAAATTTTTCTTATTTACTTTCTTTGAAACGTCAATTAATCTTTAGTTGTTTCACCTAACTTCCTGATTTTTCACACTCGACAACAAATTCCAGCAATTATAGTTTCACTTACACTTCACTTGACGGCGGATGATATAAGTTTGAAGTGGCTGTGATATGTTGGAACAGTTCGTTCAGAATTGAATTCAAGTTTTACTACCGTAAAAGCATAGACAACAAAACCATTGATAAAATAAAAAGTTGTGTAAAACGTAGTCTTCAGTTTGAAGTAAAAAATTTACCTGCTGAACAAATCTATTACTCCTGCAGCTGTAAGTTTGTTGATTATTGTTCATAGCGAACTATGAAGTGCTTAGAAATTTTTAAGTTCCGCACTGCAAGTTTTTTTCCAAGAAAAAATTGCCTAAAACTAAGTTAACAAGCAATCAGTATAATAAAATCAGTGCATTAAGCAGTTTTAGTTAGTCGGCTTCCATTAATGGCAACTGTTTAACAAGTGAAAGTTTGGTTAAAGTTTTACTGTGGAATCTTGATCAATTTCTCAAAAATGATCTCGATGAATTCCTCGGAATGATCCCGCTGAGTTTCTCCCCAGAATTACTCTTCCTTCTACTTATCTCACGATTATTAATATTATTACTGCAAATACTCCTAATACTAATACAATTTTAAGCTTCGTAGTGCCATATGACCAATGAATGTGAAAGTAGAGATAGCTATTTGAAGATAAATTACGACTACTATCATTACATGAGATACTGTCGAACCACAAATACAAAATGGTAAGTAAAATTTGGTATCAATAAAATTTTCAAGTCGTATATCATGATTGCTCAGATAGTCAAAAATTTTAAGTTTTCAAGATAAGCTGCTCTCTTTAAATCATTTGCAATATATATATATGGAAAGTTCACATTACTACAAAAGTTCAAATTAAAATTTAGCAGCATTTGCAACAATCTAAGTTAAGAAACTATGACAAAATGATAAGAAGAAAGTAACGGAGTATTTATCAGGAAAAATTTTAAGTTACCTTTTTATGGATGAGTGTCGGGAAACCCGAAATTTAGTGATATGAATTTTCGTTCGTAAATAGAGATTTGTATAATTGACATTCAGATGAGAGGGAATTTATCAGTACAATTTGTAATCTGTTGTGGTAGTATGCCATTCAGCGACCTCTGTCAACATTTCCCGCGCTTATGATCTCTCTCTCTTTCTTTCTCATGTAACAATGAATACATGAGTGCTGCTCTGTCTTCTGGCTCAGTCCTGTCAAACCGTGGCATTACCTACTGTATATCCTCCTGTACTGATCTACTAATGAGGGATATCCATCGATTTTCTCTTCAGTCCTGCCCACTATACATTATATATGTTCATGTTTCCTCTTGGATGGTGTGCAGGTGTGCTGCTCCCGAAGGGTAACCATCGAGGTGCGGTCTCAAATTGGTATCACATCTCAAATTGCTTCTCCTACAACAAACTTCGTTTAGCTTTCTCGCAACCATCGACC